AGTGCACCCTGTCGTGCAATGCCTACGGAGGACAGAAGAGGCTGTTGGATCCCCTGGAACTGGAGTTATGGACAGTTGTTAGCTGCCATGTGGGTGCTGGGATTCGAACCCGGGTCTTCTGCAAGAACAGTCAATGTTCTTAACCACTGAGCCATCTCTCTAGCCCTGAGCTTTTGTAGTTTTATACTACAGTTCTTAATCAAATTTAGGCCCCCTTCTCTACCCCCCATCCCTGCTCCAGACCTCATGTATTCCGCCATGCACATTAAGTCCCATCCAGTCAAGCATTTGTACCCAGATGTCCTTCAGTGTAAATTCATCCACTGGAGTCTAGTTAACCCATCCAGCGGTCGTATGTAAGGCCTACTCTCCCTCATCCAGTATCACTTAGTCTCCAATAGTTCTCAGTCTAGGGCTAGCCCACCACCCACTTCTCTCCCTTCTGTGCCCTTTTAGTCTTATATTAATGTGATTTTTCTGTTTATTGTTTGTATGTGTGTTTTAATTGCTTTGAAGAATGTTTAGTTTGGGGATCTGGAATGATGACTCAGTGGTTAAGAGCACTGGCTGCTCTTGTAGAGGACCCAGGTTTGATTCCTAGCACCTACATGGCAACTAACAAGTACCTGTAACTGCAGTTCCAGGGAGTCTGATGCCTCTTTTGACTTCCTCGGGCATTACACAACACGGGTACACATACATACATGCAGGCAATACACTCATACACATAAAATTTTTTAAAAATTCTTTTTAAAGAGGATGTTTAGTTTTTATATAAGCATTTGGAGCATTGGGTTAGATCCCCATTCGTTTTCAGAATAGAGCATAATGGAACTGAGGTTTGCTGGAGATGAGATTCTGTGGTGTCTGGCTTATCTTTTGGCTTCTGTCCTTAGACCCCTGATCTGGAGCCCCTGGAGCCGTCCCTGGAGGACGTGGAGAGCATTAATGATTTCGAGCCCTTGTTCTCAGAGGAGGCACCTGAAGTGGAGAAGCCAGTCACCACTGTCCAGGTTCGACTCCTGCTGCCGAATGTACACACACATAATGAAGTTGTTGACCCAAGTGACGGGCCCTGTCTGTTCTTCAAACATTGTAAAACCCAGCTGTGTTTGTAGGAAAAGGGGCACAGTCCTCATAGCATCAGGGGAGGGCTTTTCCTGGTGGTTGGTGGAGGGGCCAGCAGCACTGTTTTAATGTGAACAGCTATCTCCCTGTCAGAAGCCTTGGGTCAGGCGTTTGGAGTCTTTAGTCCTGAGTACTGACTTTGAATGTTTCCTTTACCTTTGAGCTGAGATCTCTGCACCTCCATCACTTGTGGTGGCTGTGGGGTAAACTAACTGGGGTGGGAGTAGGGCCAAGCCAGAGAAGGTGGAGACGCGGCCTTCCCTGCTGGGCCTTCTCACTGCTGCTCTCCACACGGGCTTCTCCTACAACTGGGGGGCCTTGGCATAATGCTGATGCAGTGTGTAGGGATTTGTCGAGGTTGAAGGAAGACAGGAGGTAGAGTCAGGAAACGGAGTTGAAGAAGGGTTGTCTTGGCCTGAACAGAGAAGCTGGGCTTGATTAGCAAATGTGGTTTGAGGAAACTGGCAACTGGGAGAATTGTCACTATGGCCTAAAAATATCTCTTAAACCTTGGGTTTTTAAAGCCCGTGTTTAACTTGGCAGCATATCATCAGCTGTTTGTTGGAACAGAAAGGATTCGAGCTCCAGAGATTATTTTCCAGCCATCTCTCATAGGAGAAGAGCAGGCGGGAGTTGCAGAGACTCTTCAGTATGTCCTGGACAGGTGAGCTGCTCTGGACAGGTGCACTGGTGATAGCACTTTGCCTGTCCTCTCCTGAGCCTCTTCCTGGGTTTTGCATTGGAAAGATGAGCTGATCTGGCACTTGGGAGCTCTGCCAGTCCTTGGCATTCACCTGCTGTGGTCAGGTAGTCTTCCCTCTGTCCCAGGCCTGCATGCAGGTAGGGCTCTGACATGTTTCCAAACATGTTGGAGCGCAGCTCACTTGAGACTCTAAAAACTTTGCATCTGAGCAACAGTGGTATTGTATCTACTGACTTTCATGTGAAATTTCACATGACTAAAACTTACTGACATATTTATTGAGAAAAGGTCTCCCTTCATACCCAGTGGTGTTGAACTTGAAAGCTTCCAGAGTAGCTGGGATCATAGGTGTGTGCTACCACATCCAGAAAGACTAGTTTTTTTTTTTTTTTTTTTTTTTTTTTTCTCTTTTTGAAGCAGGGTCTCCCTGTAGTCCCACCTGTCCTGGAACTCACTATGTAGACCAGGCTGGCCTTGAACTCACAGAGATCCTCCTGCCTCTGCCTCCCAAGTGCTGGGACTACAGGCATGAGCCACCACGCCTGTCTAAGACTAGTCATTTTTTAAAAATATTTTTTTTATTATTTTTAAAAAATTTTATTTATTATTTTTATTTTTATGTATATGAGTGTTGTGTCTGCATGTATGTCAGTGCACCCGTGTCGTGCAATGCCCATGGAGGACAGAAGAGGCTTTTGGATCCCCTGGAACTGGAGTTACGGACAGTTGTTAGCTGCCATGTGGGTGCTGGGATTTGAACCCAGGTCTTCTGCAAGAATGGTCAGTGTTCTTAACCACTGAACCTTCTCTCCAGCCCCTATTTCATTATTTTTATTTTATGTGTGTATTACCTGCATATATGTAAGTGCACCTGTGTCATGCAATGCCTGCAGAAGAGGGCGTCAGAGCCCCTGGAACTGGAATTACAGATGGTTGTTAGCAGCCATGGGTTCTGGGAACCGAACCTGGGTCCTCTGCAAGGGCGGTTAGTGCTCTTAACCACTGAGCCATCTCTCCAGCCCTAAGACTAGTAATTTTTAAATTAACCCCAAAATAACTACAGTGCCTGTGAAAGATTTTTCGCTTCCTTATATAGGTACATGTTTATGTAAGAATTTGTTTCTCCCGCTTACACAGGCATTTCCCAGTGAATGCACATAACTCAAGCTGGGCAAGTTGGGGGACGTGATTTTTAGCACTTTGTTTGCTCTAGTTATTATTGGATGGAACATTGGGTACCAGCCAGATTCTCAGCCTGCCTGCCCTGACCCTCTGGACTTCTCACTGTGTCTCTGAACACCCCTCCCTGCTTTCTACAACTGCTTGCCAGCCTCCATTGCCTACTCTGAGACTCTACTCAGGAGCATGGCTTTCTCTCTTCTCTCCTCCATCTTCTTCCAGATAGCTGCTGGGATTTATTGCTCTCTTGCCCTTTGGTTTTTCTCTCAAACTCCAATGAAATCCTCAACCTTGAAAAGAGAAGTGTTACTTGGGGCTGGAGAGATGGCTCAGCGGTTAAGAACACTGGTTGTTCTTACAGAAGACCTGGGTTCAAATCCCAGCACCCACATAGCAGCTAACAACTGTCCGTAACTCCAGTTCCAGGGGATCCAGTGACCTCTTCTGTCCTACACAGGCATTGCACAACACGGGTGCACTTATCTACAAAATAAATAAATAAATTTTTTTTTTTTAAAAGAAAAGTATTAGAAAAGCAGAAAAATTTAATCATTGGACTGCATTCTGTAGAGATGTGAATGAAAAATGGAAGTTTTGGGTTTTTTAATCTTTGTGTGTAGATACTAAAAGGTTCAACTTTTGTACCAAGAGCTTGCCTTTCCGGATGTCTGCAGTGTGTTGGAATATTCAAGTTAGAGGATTTTTTTCTCTCCTAGGTACCCAAAGGATGTTCAGAACACCCTGGTCCAAAACATCTTCCTCACTGGTGGAAATGTGATGTACCCAGGCATGAAGGCCCGAATGGAGAAGGAGCTGCTGGAGATGAGGCCCTTTCAGTCCTCATTCCGGGTACTGGTCGCTCAGTTCTCCCTTTTATGTTTTCTGATTGACAGCATGAAGTTGTGAATGGCTAGGATTCTGTAATTCCACCATCCAGAGATACCTGTTGCTGAATTTTGGTGACTTCTCCGCTTTTTAAGTTTATGTGTATGTGTTTGTACCTCTGAGTTTTTGTGTACCATGTGCATGCTGGAGGCCATGGAGGCTAGAAGGTTCTGGATCCTCTGGAACTAGATTTACAGGCAGTCATGAGCTGCCATGTGAGTGCTGGAAACTGAACCCGGGTCCTCTGTCAGAGCAGTAAGCTCTAATCACTGAGCCCTCTCTCCAGCTCTTCCTTCTAGTCTTTAATCTGTGTTTAACTGTTGATGCAGGATGGGAATTGTGCTCAGTGTACTACTGTTTTCCTACCTAATTGAAAAGGGATTGAGCGTATAGAATTCAAAGTGTGGAAGAGTATATTGAACATAAGGGGATTCTCCCTGCCTGTAGGCAGATTGTCCTTTATACGTTTTCCAGCATAGAAGTTTGTGTTACCTTTTGTTTGTGTCATTTTCTGCAGACAGCCACATTTCTGGGATAAGCGGGAGGCCTACTTTGTCGGCCTTTTTCTGCATAACTGTTAGCTTTAGGCCGTGGCGGGGGGGCCGTAAAGGAGCCTGAGTGGAGGAGTTGTGTGCTTAATTTACATTTTAGAAAGATAGGGTGAGGCTAGCCTGGGCTATATAGTGAATTCAAGGCCAGCCTAAGCTACTTAAGCTATTTAATGTCTCAAAAACCTAAGAGAGAGACAAGAGACACAAGAGACAGACGTTCACTAGACTAGAAATGATGGACATGGATAGGCTTGAAGGGGAAGAACGTGAGTTCTATCTCCAGCATGGGCTGAACCTCCAGTGGGACACAGGAAGAGGAGACTAGCCACTGGTGAGTGCTCAGGGAAGAGGTGGGAATTGTGCTTCACTGTTGGGAGAGCAGGTGAAGCTAAGGATTAAGCTCTAAATACAGCCTCTAGGGGCATCCTGGAGCTGGAGGACACCATGACAGAGTTGAGGACAGGCAGCCAGAGAGGAGAGACAGCAGTGCTGAAGCCAGTGGGTGACGTTTTGGATTGTGAGCTTGGACTTCAGACAGGCTGGCAGGGGGGTCTGGTGAAGTTACTGTGTAAAAGACTCTTGGGGTTTTCAATATCTCCTGCTTGGCAACCCCAGAAGCCTCTGTGATCATCCTTTGAGATCCCTGACTGTAGGAATATTGCCCTGGATCCAATCCTGTCTGGCCTGTCGCTCTCATACCCCATATTCTCCCTTCCACCTTCCTGCCTCCTTTCTCGTGGGAAGGCGGTGAGTGTGCAGCCCCAGCCCCTTACCTCCATGTTCACATGCTGCGCACAGCAGTGGCCCAAACATTGCTAGAAGGTGGAAAACCCCAAGGTGTGCCCGGTTGTTTTGCACCTTGGTTTAAGAACATCAGCTTTCTAGGGCTGGGGAGGGAGCTCAGTGGTAGAGCATTTGCCTAAATATGAAACTCTGAGCCCAGTCCTTACCACCATACACATTAAATACAGTCTGTTCTTTTTCTCTTTTGCTTTTTTTTTAATCTTATTTTTTGTGGTGTTAGTGGAACCCAGAGCAGTTTACCTGCTGGGCAGGTGCTCTGAGAGTGAGCCATATCCCCACTTCTGGTTTTTCAACACCTTTGAAGACAATACTAAATTACCAGACAACTTAAATAAGCAACAATAAAAGTGGAAAACAATTTGTGGCTCATTAGTGTTTGTGAATTTATTTAGGGACATAGACTTCTTTTGTTTTGTCTTGAGACAGGGTTCTCCTGTAGCCCCAGCTGGCCTAGAACTCACTATGTAGACCAGGCTAGCTAGTCTTGATCTCACAAGACTGCCTCTTGATGTCATCCGCCAGCCTCTGTCTTAGGACATTTTCTTATCTTGTATATAATTTTAACCAAAAAAGAGATTGTTGATACCTGTTCGTAGCCCTTTCAGATTATTGTGAGTTTTTCAGGGAGTGCATTTCCAAAGCATTGTTGCCATAGCTGTGTGGTATTCTGTTACTGACCATAGGTAATTACCGCAGTTTTATTAGTGACAGTGGTAACTACCGCCTACTGACTACAGTGTGCCAGGCAGATGCCAGGCACTTTACACTTCCTAAGCCAGCGCAAGCTTCCCATCTGATGAAATGAAAAGGTTCCTGTGCACAAGTTCCCCATGTGTCAGCCCAGGCGGCTGTACCCACACTTGTACTTTTGGTTTTGTTTTTCTTTTCCTTTCTTCCTCCTCTCCCCTCCCTCTATGCCCCCCCCTCCCCAGGATTTTGCTTTGTAGCTCAGATTGGCCTGGAGATCCCCATCCACCTACCTCAGCCTTCAGAGGCTGCCAGGCTGCAAGCTTGCACCCAGTTCTCCATTCTCCTCCACCTGTGCCTGCCACTTTGCTTCATGTGCTGTGTCCTTTATTTCCAGAAGCTCTGAAGCCACCATTGGAGCTTAGAGCTGTGGTTGGCATGGGAGGGGGTGCGGGATGGGAGGTAAGTACTCCAGGACAGGAGGCCCTATCAGAACTGGGGGACTACTTTGGCTTGTCAGGTCAGGCTAGTTTAGGGAATCTCACGGGCTACTGACGCCCAGCCTTGCTGTGCCCATGAACATTGACAGTACCAGGCATTGGCAATGACACAGAATGCCTGGTCACCCTGCTCGGCTGTCATTTCCTCCCTAGGCTCTCCTGCCACATGGCCAGAGCTGCCCTGCATCAGCCTCCAGATCACCCCTCTCCTTACAGCTTGTGATTGACAGTGTCATGGAGTAGGGGCTGGGCAACTGACCTGGAGTGAGCAACCATGGGTTGCTGTAGCTGGCTCTGAGGAGTGCCTGCACAGTGTGTGTTCTTGGGTGCTCTCTCACACCGTGCATGTTGGCTTAGCTTTGTTTGGGGGAGGGGTGTTTGGGGTACAGGAGGCCAACGCATACCATGTAGGCATTGCCCTGGCCACCCTGTATGTGTGTTTCTCAGCATACGGGGACAAAGCTGGCTGAGCCTGCAGAACCTTCATGTTTGGGGCCTGAATCCCTGGTAGGAGACACCTTTCTAGTGAGCATCCGGTTCTTGTTCCAGGTTCAGCTTGCCTCAAACCCCATGCTGGACGCCTGGTACGGTGCCCGTGACTGGGCCTTGGACCATCTGGAAGACAGTGGAGCCTGGGTCACCAAGAAGGACTACGAGGAAAAGGGAGGCGAGTACCTCAAAGAGCACTGTGCCTCCAACATCTATGTTCCCATCCGCTTGCCCAAGCAGGCCTCACGTTCCTCAGAGGCCCAGGCATCCGGCAGAGGCTCAGGGGCCAGTGGAAGTGGCACTGGTGAACAAGCCTAGCAGAGGTGCCTGGGAGACGGCCCTGCACTCCACCCTTGTTGCCTAGGCAGCAGCACAGGACAAGAACACGCTGCATGTCACAGCCAGAGGCCAGCAGCCGTGTTTGGCTGCAGACTGCATTTCTCCAGGAAGAATAGGAAGGCAGCAGGATTTCTGCTTCAGGAAGGGCAGAGTGGCCTCTGGAGTGGAGAACCTTGGGTGAGCTGTGGCGCTGGCTTCCTCCACAGTTAAGGAAGACAAGTGGAGGCCAGAGGTAGACAGAAAACATTCTCTTTGCACTTGAAAGCCTTTTGTTGTTGTTGTTGTTCTAAAAAACACTTGCCAGGCATGCCCATGCCTTTACTCCTAGCATTCAGGAGGCCATGGCAGGTGGATCTCTGTGAGATCACGGCCAGCCTGGTCTATGTAGTGAGTTCCAGGACAGCTGGGGCTACAGAGAGATCCTGTCTCAAAAAGACCAGAAAAACCAAAAAGGAAAAACCAAAAACCAAGCAAAAGAAACTCTCAAACTGTTGCTTTAGAAATGCAGAGAAGCGGGGCGTGGTGGCACACACCTTTGATCCCAGTACCGGGGAGGCAAGCAGATCTCTGTGAATTCGAAGCCAGGGGCTGGAGAGATGGCGCAGTATTAAGAGCACTGACTGCTTTGCAGAGGACCCAGGTTTGGTTCCCAGCACCCACATGATGGCTCACAACTGTCTATAGCTCCAGATCCAGAAGATCTAACACCCTCTTGGCTTCCAGAGACACCAAGAACATACATGGTGTACTTACATACATGCAGGCAAAGCAGTCATTAAATAAAACCCTAGAACATCTTTAAAATTTATTTGTGTAGCTGTTTTATTCTGCATTTATTGCAGTATTGTGCGTGCCCAGTGTGTATAGAAAAAGGTACTGTTGAGGTTGTAGACGTGGTCACCTGGTCTTAGGCACAGGAGCCCTCAGCCTGCTCATTGTCATCACAAACACAAGGAAGAGACCCAGAGGTCACCATCTTGTGAAGTCTCCCTGCTGCCCAAGCTCCTCCTTGGTGCTTTGTCCTGAGTGGACAATGAGGCCTGTGGCCCGACTTCTGTAATTGTTTTCTTTGTTAGAGATTACCAGATGATGCCTTTCTAGAAAACTTGTTTCTGGGTTTGTTGGCTCTTTCCCTTACTCGGGCTTCTCTGCACAAAGACACAGATGAGAGACGTCATCCCTCTCTCCACACATCACTGCCCCTCCCTTCGCAGCCTGTCCTGAACAGACAGAGGCCTCCTTTCCCCTTTTGTTGCTCTTGGAGTCAGGGTCTTGAGGGTCCCAGGCTGGTCTCAAACTCAAAATCCTCTTGCCTCAGTGTTCTTCTATGGATGCACAGCCACACATACAGATTCTTGGTAAGAATTTTAACCTCAAATACACCCAAGAGGATGTGAGGGCAATCTGGCTGCGACATCTGTCACCCCATTGATCGCCAGGGTGGATTTGGCTGATCTGGCTGGCTAGGTGGATGTCCCCTTCCTCAACGCTCCACATGAAGCTGCAAGCTTGGTCAAAGAGGACGTCCTTCCCCGATAGAGGAGGACTGGTCTTCAGTCAGTGGTATACGAGTAGCTGTGTTCCCCTGCTAGGACCTCCAAACAAGCTCTCAGGTACACCTAAGAACTGATCCCAGAGGCCTCTGAGCAGCTGGCTCCAGCCCAGAATCCATACAGTTAGATCCCAGGGTGCCTCAGCTCACTGTGATGAGCCTTCCTCAGACTGTTTGCTTAGTTTTCCCAGGACAGTTTGCATCTCCAGCTCTCTAGAGCCAATAAATTACAGGCCAGGCACTGCCGTGGTAGAGGACTTAGAAGACCCTGTTTGATGAACAGGGTCCTGAAGCCTTGCCCACTGAATCGTTGGCCATCTTTGGCAGGCCAAGGACCGAAGGGGTGATAGGAAGAAGTCTGGACCACAGAAGAGATATCCTCATGGCACCACCCAGGAAGAGGACTGCTAACCACGGGCTGTCTGGGGTCTTCCTGCAGTCCCCAGTAAATACCCTCAGCCACAGTGGTAGGGTCACAAGACTATCTTGGTGGTTAGGCACTGGTGGCGAAGGGCCCTGGACAGGTGAGCCTGAGCACTCGACAGTGAAACAAGCAATGAGTTGGACCCTCAAAAGTTTGTATGTGATGAACACAGGAGGAAGTCAGGAGCTGTGGGGAGGGGCAGGCCAAAGGGCCCATGAAGTGACCTATTGGGTTTGGCTTTCATACTTGGAGCCCTCAGGAAATCCTGGCCTTTTCCAGAGCTGGGCATGCTAGGTTTGCCAGAGCTTGGTATGCTCTGTGGTCTTCCTAGCCCTTCACACAAACCACCAGTCAAGTGTTACATACCTTGGGCCTTAGGCCGCATCTGGTCTGTGTGCGATGACATTCTACCCAAGAGCAGGGTAGTTGAGAGGGTGCTGGGGCTTTGGTTCCCAGAATTGTGAAAGAATAGCGTCTTAAAAATATTTTTATGTGTGTGAATGTATTTTCTACAAGCACCTGTGCTGTGCAGTGCTAGCAGAGGCCAGAAGAGGGTGTCAGTGTCCTGGAACTGGAGTCATGGATAGTTGTGAGCCACCATTGGGTGCTGGGAACTGAACCTGGGTCCTCTACAAGAGCAGCCAGTGCTCTTAAACCACTGAGCCATCTTTTCAGCCCCAAGAATAGACATCTTGCTCTGGCCCCCCACTTGAGATAATTGTTACAACGCCCCTGGGTCTGTTGGTGTCTATGGTTACTCTACAGATGACAACATATCCTTAACTTACCACAGTCTACCTATTTCACATGCAGTGTAACTAGATGCAGTCACCTGCACTCCCAGGCTGCCTGTTGTGCTTGCAGTTCCTTCTGCTGTAAACCCCAGTATACATTACTAATATTTTCATTCAGCCAGTAGACTTTAGAGGAGTCAAGAAAAGAGAGGCTTATCGTTTACCTAAGCACTGACTGACTAGGAGAGTGGGACAGAGGGGATGCTTTTTACCAGCCGGTCTCGTTCAGGAATGCGAGACGAGATGAGGCCAGATCTTCCCCTTCTGGTTGGCCTTGGTTTATGGAGGCTTTGGATTTTTTTCCCCACTGCTGAGATTGAATCCAGGGCCCTGTTCCTGCTATGCAAGTCCTCCGGTGCTGAGCTACACCCTCGGCCTACCTCTGGGCAGTGTTTGGGAGTGGAGTGACAAGGCACTCCTCAGCCTGAACCACCAGATTCAGCAAGAGGGATGAATCTGACTGCCTGGGTCTTGCCAACCTGCGCAGCATATGGATGAACACCTGGCGAGACAGGGCTTTCCTTGCTAACCATTTCCCAGCCTGGGCACCTGACCTGGCATTTGGAGGTTGAGGATGGTGGATATTCCCCAACCCAGACACACTTGTGGAAACTGGTTGTAGTCTGGGGGATGGGGCACTTTCTCTGCTCTTCAGTCCCAGCTTGGGATGCTCTCACAGTGATTTGCCCTGGGTTTCTGCATCAGTGGTGTGGCATCTGTGTGGCTGACAGCTGGACCAGTAATACCCAGGCCTGGTGGTCATTGCTAGAAAAACATTGCAGGCTGAGGATGTGGCTCAGTGGTACAGTACTTACCTATCATGCTGGGGGGGCCCTAGATTCAATTCAGGACTACAAAGAGAATAGAAAAGAGCATCCAGTGTCTTCACTGAGTACTTTTGCTGGTACCGCCCTGCTGGCCTGTGAGGATGTTGTAGGCATTCTCAGAGGCTAGAGTTTACATTTTCTCAGAATGTGATAATATTGCTCAGAACTGTAAGACCTGCCCTCCTGTTGTTGATGGCTTTTTCACACTGGCCCGAAAGGAGGGAAGTTGTTATGATACTGCTAAGACGAACATACCAGTAAGTCTTAGCAGCTCTCCTGGTGGGCTGTGTCAGGCTTCTGGGAATGGCCTTTGAGCCCATAGGTCCTCTGATGCCACCTGGTGGCTAGCGGGGAGCCAGCATCCCCTGCAAAATCTAATTCAGCACTGATTTTAATGCATGGCATTTTCTGAAGCCTTGATGATGATGCTGGGATCGAACCCCAGGGATGTTTAAGCCCTGTACCACTTTCAGCAACCCCCATTCTTGTTTTTGGTTTTTGGTCTTACTTTTTGAGACAGGGTCTCAAAACCTGCTATGTAGACCAGGCTGGCCTTGATCTCACAGAGATTCATTTGCCTCTGCTGGAATCTAAGGTGATCATCACACCTGGCTCTCCTCCATCCCGCACCTCCCCTTTTTTCAAAGTCTTGCTATGTAGCCCAGGCTGACTCCAAACCCCTCATCCTCCTGCCTCAGCCTCCCAGTGTTGGGATTTTGGGTTGTACCACCCCAGTTTGGAAAAGGGCCAAATTTAAAGGAGCTGCCAGAGATGTGGAGTGTTGGGCGAGGAGCCCAAGAACACAGGTGTAGTTTGGAACAGGAAAAGGCTTTGGCTCTGTAGCCGAAGAGCCTTCAAGAAGCAGAATTTTAACTGGGTCTAGTGGTGCACACCTTTAAATCTCAGCACTTGAGAGACAAAGACAGGTGGGTTTTTGTGAGTTTGAAGCCAGCCTACCCTATGTAGTGAGAGCCTGTCTCAAAAAAAGAAAATTTATTGTTTTTTAAATGTGTGTGTGCCCACAGAGGCCGAAAGAGCACATCAGAGCCAGAGTTCCAGGTGGTCGAGAGCTTCCCAGCCTGAGTACTAGGAGCCAAACCCCAGTCCTCTGAAAGAGCAGCAAGCATTCTTAACTGCTGAACTGCTGAGCCATTCTCCAGCCCCTTTATTTTCTTTTAGTTTGTTTGTTTGTTTTTTGAGGTGGGGTCTCATGGAACCCAGGCTAGGGTCTAAATTCCTCATGTCACAAAAGATGATCTTGAACTCCTGATCTTCCTGCCTCTACCTCCAGAGAGCTAGGATCACAGACTTAGGCCACCACAGCCAGTTTATATCTCATTTAAAAATAGTACATTCTGGTTGGGCGTGGTGGTGCACGCCCTTTAGTCCCAGCACTCGGGAGGCAGAGGCAGGCGGATCTCTGTGAGTTCAAGGCCAGCCCGGTCTACATAGTGAGTTCCAGGACAGTTGAGGCTACAGGGAGACCCTGTCTCAAAAAGGACCAAAATAAATAAATAATACGTTCTGGGACTGGAGAGACAGCTCAGCAGTTAAGAGCACTGGCTGTTCTTGCAGAGGACCTGGGTTCAATTCCCAGCACCCACATGCTGGCTAACAATCATCCATAACTCCAGTTCCAGGGGATCCAACACCTTCTGACCTCACTGGCATTGTACAACATGGGTGTACTTACATGCAGTCAATATACTCATAAAATAAAAATTAGAGAAATAAATCTTTTGGGTCTTTTTGAGACCAGGTCTCCCTATAGCATACCCAGCTAGCCTGGAACTCACAGAGATCCACCTGCCTCTGCTTCCTGA